GACACCATCTCAAGCATGTCTTCCCATAGCTGGATCCCCGTCACGATCAAATCCCTGGGGAAATGCGTCCTTTTGTTACATTGAAATGGTTTCTCAAGGTATTTTTATGTTAGCAAAATAAACTGTTGTGCCAAATACGCAGGTATTTATTTCTATCTCTCTTACAGGACACCTGTTCATTCAGACATTTTGGCAAACTATGAACCGTGAATGGAATGGGATAGACAATCTGCGTCTTGATAAGTACTATATGGTAATACTAACTGTCTTGCAGACTTTTTCTGCAAGAAAAGATGTGGTGGTGGTGGTGGTGTACTGGAAGGCAGCTTTGTCTGCATGTTATGTTTATCTATATTGTAAGAGAATACAAATGGCTATCTTCATGATGCGTTGCAAGAGATAGCTTTTCTAAAGGCCTTCACTCACCACTGCAAATCTAAAAGCAATTACCGTTTGTTGCAAGTGCTTTCTTGTTTGCCTTTCTTAATAACAGGGTGCTGTTGTAAGGTATTTATTCTATATGGAGTATAAATACTGTCTCAGAGGACACTGCATCGATATAAGTTAGTTAGATCAGACTGTTTATAGACTTTTTTTATGACTCTGTATAAAGTAGTTGTCACTAGAACCCTAACTTTCCACCACTAAATTATCCACTGTAGTACATTCAGCTTTCACAATTTTTTTCTCTAGGAAACACTGTGTTAAAACAAGTAGTAAAATAAGTGAGAGAAGAATCTTAAAAGACCTACCTTTGTAAAGAAAAAAATGGTATTAATCTTCTTTGGAAGAAGTTAGTTGTGTGCACATTTTTGGCTGGTTTTGAGTTTTTTCAATGTTAGCAGAAACCAGGAATTTCAGGAAGTGAAGTGTTTTGAACCAGTTTGATGTAACTATTTTACATATGGCTGTCTCTTAGTTCAAGTTTCAAGTAAATTAAAATATTACTGTTATTATCTGTCCAGCTGTGGGGTTTTGGGGGGGTTGGCAGCATTTGGTGAAGAAATCAGGGTGATGGAGCAAGAGAAAGCTGTATTTTAGAAACTACTATGGATATTTCTAGGCTTAGGATATGAAAATAGTTTATTGTCTTCTGAGCTTCACAGCATCCATCTGTTGCTTGTCATGACAAAGAAGCCTGTCAGAATGTTCATATGAGGAAGCTTTCCACCTTGTGCTACAAAGGGATTTACTAAGTCTATACTACAGTCACAGTAACTCCTTTGTCTGTTTTCATAAACAACATGTATAAGAAATTTTTGTACTTTGCAGCTAATGCGTAGGATTTTCAGGCAATCCCTTGAAGTGCTGAGAAGAAATGAATGGGATGAAAGGTAAGCAGATTTCATAGTGCAGTTGCGTTGTAAAGAAGTTGCTCCATTTACCTTTATCAAATATATTTTTGTTTAATAAATCCTTTTCCTCCATAGATGGTGCTGTCCTGAAGTCTTAACATTGGCTTATTTGTCCTTCAGGTCACTTACCATGTGTACTTTAGAAACAAAGTTTCATGCTATGCTTCATTAAGTTAAATAACCACTGTAGTCTGTAAACTCTCATGTTCACCTAAACCATTTAGTGGTGTTTCACAGAAGGAGATTTCAGAAAGTAATTCACGTAGGCTTATGTAAAACCTGAAGGTAGAAGCTTGTCGTGTGGTATTCCAAGCAGTCGTGAAATCTGAGGGCTCCGAATTTTTCATGGAGTTTGCTAGAACTGACTAATTTAGCCTGGAGAGCTATCAATGGAATATCCACCTGTAGAGAGACTAGACAGGGAACCTACATCCCAGAAAACAAAGATAATTAATGCTTTTTTTTTTTGATTGTGTTAGTTTTTCTGATTGGCTGTGACTTTTTATTTTTTGTTTTACTATGTTTAATCATGGTGGCTTGTCTTTTGATAAGACAGAACTCTTTCACTGTAAACTGGCTTCTGTTTTGTGGTGTACATCAGTGGCTCCACATTCTGTCAAATGGCAAGTAATTGCAGTCATCTTGCTCTGTCTTGAGCTCTTGTGCCGCTTGCCCTGCGTTTAAACTGATGAAGAGCTTGAAGTCTGAGGGCTTGATGACCTAGAGTTAAGGTTATCTTTTCTATCTCTTGCCTTCCAAAATGTGGAATGCATACAGGCATGTCGTTGTAGAAGTAGAAAGGATTACAAAGCTAAAGTACCTCCCATCCCCTCTGTCTGCCTTGATTTTGCATTGGGTAAATGCCCATGGGTTGAAGAGATGAAAATGCTCCTTGACAGGGACTGGAAGTGTGGGAGGAGCTGGAGTCCTTCTTCCCTGCACACATTCCCATGGCAGAGATGTGGTCACCCAAACTGATCTCTGACAAGGTTTCTGGTGGTTTTGGCCTCCCTTTCTCCAGCTTCCCTGGAAGGATGGCCTGGAGACCCTTCAGCACCAGAGGAGGCAGTGAGGGAAGAGAAGATCATGATTCCTTTCTTTGCAGGGTGAGGGAGCTCAAGAGTTGCCTTTTCCTCCTAGATGGAGCCTAGAAGCTGCCTAGTGTCTACCAGTTCTTTGGAAAGAAAGTATTAAAGTAAAACTGAAGTAGCCTTTATTGTTTTTAGAATGCTTTACATTTTCTTTGAAACTTGAAATGTTTGTTCTGGGTGAAATTGCAGGACATCCCACAGAATGCTGAGGAGAAAGCATGGAATATACAGAGTTCCACTTTCCTGAAAGATAACAAGGAAAGGCCTCGGGGGGGAAAAGAAAGTCCCAAGCGCAGTGTAGATGCAGCAGTGTCATTCCAGCGGTATTTGTTTGTACTTCAGAAGTCAGTAACTGAACAGATCCACCATCCTACTTGTGCACAGCTTGCCCGGTTCTGGCATGAGCTATTGGTGTAACGATTTTTTTTTACACCTAGCTTAGCCCTCGATCTGTTCTCCAGAGTAATTGTTTTGCTCTGATGGACAGTGGATAGCATACTTAAATGAATGCGAAGTCTGCACAGTTGAAATGCCTTTGAGAAAGATCAGTATTAAATTTCATCCTTGGGTGTGCTCCAAGATGAAAATTATCTCATAAAATGGAAGGGTACGAGGTGTTGCCCATTAAGGATGGATGAATGTGGCAGCTGTGTCTTTGGAATGCCGTACAAAAAATGTAGAATCCCTCCTCCTACCCATCAGTCATATGGCATAAAAATCTTCAATGCAAATTAAGGTGTGAATTATTTTAAAACGGACTGCGAGGAGTTCTGATTACGGATGGATCTTTTAAAAAGTTCACTTTAAGGTATGAAAATTGGTCACTGGATTTATTTCTTGAGTGTTGGATAGCTTTCTTAAAGAACTGGTAAAACTGTAAATGACTAGTTTGTTTTCAAAGCAAATAGAACATGAGCAATTGAATATGAATATAATTTTTCTTTTTTTTTTTTTTTCAGTCTAAGGGAACTACTCCTGCAGCTATTAATGAAAGAAGTTATGGACCCAGACAGCAATGCTCCCTTTGGGATAAAGTTACATTTCATTGATATCTATCTGGCTGAACTGGCTAAAGTTGGTGCAAAGGAGGTTGGAAAATATGTTGTCATTTTCTTCCTGATTAATGTTAAGTAGCATGCAGCATTTTAGAAGAAATTGAATGTTAGGATTACCTATGTTTTGACAGTTTTAAATGTAGCATAGCAACACTGAATAAGCCTGAAGAAAGTGACTTTTTACAACTTATGCTTTTGTTCACATCTTTGTGTAGACAGTGATAATATAGTAGTTTCTCTCAAGTTCCAGAGTACTGCTATACTGCTCCAAACTGAGCTTAGAAACAGCAATAGACAAGTTAAACCATTCTCATCTGTTTATTTGAACAGAAGAGACTTCACATCTTTTTCCACATGTGACCATGTTTGCCAGTCTTTGCTTTTCCAAAAGCTGACACAAAGCCTGTTCCTGGCTGATTGTATAAGACCTAAATAGAGGAAGAAAGTGAGCTTTCAAAGTTGTCTGATGTTTGCTTATTATCGGCTTCCAACTGCCTTGACTGTGCATCAGACAATTTGCCCTCGGCGTCCAGTCGCTCGTATTGCTGGCGATGCCTGTGTTTCTCTGCTGTATGTTGCTGTTTTAGTTGCCCTTAGTTTTGGCTGATGTTACAGCGACACAATTTTTTGGGGCAGCTGAAAGGCCGTCACTGCAGCTGTCACTGCCAAGCTTCTTCCAAAGCGTCTTGTCTCCTGATCCTCCAGCAGAGCGAGCTGCCCGCCGCCCCACACTTCCTTCCCGCCTGCTGCTCGTTGACCTCCTGTTGTTTCTGGCAACCTCCGCGCAGCGGCAGACGAAGCCGGTTGCCACGCTGGAAACCCCCGCCCAGCGGCAGACGAAGCCGTTAGCAATTTCCCATTTGTGTCCTTTGCAGTCGGTTCTGAAAGCAATCCTGCCTGCAGCTTTTGTGGTTCTGGGATTGTGGAGTGTGAGAGAGCAAACGTTTGCGCAAGTGAAGTGCCTGCGCTTGGAGCCCAAATGATTTCTGCAGCTCCACAGTCACTACACTACCTTACAGGAAGCGTGGGGAATTAGTCTCCTAGATTACTTGAAATCACAACCGATGCCCATAAATTGAATTTAGGGAAGGATTTTTGTCTTTGATACCACTGTAGCTGACAGTGTTTTGGTCCAAGCAGTCCAGTTAAGAGAAACCCAGATCTCATTCATGTCTGCTACAGACCTTCTTTGTGAAAGTGCACAAAATTATTTTTCTCTGCCTCAAGTTTCCATTTCTAAAATAAGAAGCTTTGTTGTATTTCTATATTCAATAGATAAAATATTCACTGCTTTGCAGACTTTAGATAATGCTTCCAGGGAATGTCTGGAAATTAGTGGTAGCAGTGGTAAAAAATAGTCACTGGATACTCCTATCAGTTGGAATTAGATAGTATGTTTAAAGACTCTAACTTCTTAAAGAAGATCCCAGTACAACAAATACTTAAGGAATTTTGAGTGTACATATACAATATTTACTGTACTTACTATGTTTTCTTTCTAATCATCCAGCTCACAGCAGACCAGAATCTCGAGTTCATTGACCCTTTCTGCAAAATTGCTGCCAAATCAAAGGAGTAAGTTTAATGAAAAGATAAATAATTTTTTAAGAATTAAGAAATTCTGCTTGTACCACTCCACACAGCAATAAATGGATTGAAGAAGAGTTATAATATAACTTCACGGTGTAGAGAAAGAAGGATATTTTACTACCTATGTGCACAGTCATTTGAAAATAACTTGTGTTTATCAAAGCTGTAGATAAACTTCACGGATTTATAAGAACTATATTAACCTAAGTTTTGCATAGGTTATTTTTTCTTTTTTAAACATGCATAGAACAGCTGAGCTGGTCAGATGCTTTGTTGTTGCAGTGTAATATAGAGCAGCATATAAACGGTGAAATTTAAGAGGCGAACATGGGCAGGGTAGTATTTGGATTAGGATTTCTGTTTAGGAAGTAACACATTCACTTTCCTTATCTGGAGAGCTAGATGCTCTTCCACTTTCTTCTTTCTTACCCAATTTTCCTGCATTCCTGAAATTTCCATTTTTATTTTTTTTAATTGAGAGGGGAAGGTTTATATGCATCTGCCTGTTGACTCTCATCCCTGATTTCTTGTAACACAGTCGATGTCTGCTGCATGCCATAACCACGGGTATCTTTGAGATCATTGTGGATCAGTCGCCCTATGCCATTGAGGACCTAATGAAAGAACTGGGTAGCAACTGTGAGGAGGACGATGAGTCTGAAGAAGACAAACAGGAAAATGAAGAGGTGCTTAAAACCAAAGGTGAGGAGGAAGTTCTAAATGGCCATAGTAACGCTTGCTGGAATTTGAAAATATATTTCCTTAAAATGTTCCTGCTCGGAACCCGTCAAAACACGTTTGAGATGTTGTAAGGATACTTGTGTTTTCCTGTCTTCCCTTCGGATGTGCTTAAAGTGGCTCTAAAAGAACATGCCACAGAAATCAATGGTCTTTTAAAAACCAGGTAATATCAGCTTTCTGCAACAGTCCTCTGGGATGTCCATAAGATTTTTGAGGATGAGGCTTTGGCATTCTGTGGGAGCTTTAAATTTAAAACCAAACAAAAATCTAAGCAGGAGGTTTTTCAACCCAAATATACTCTGGTACAGAGGCAGTTTTTTCAAAGGCAGTCATGCTGCCACGGTGATGTCCAGTAGTTAAATCAGTCCAGGCTCATGAGATCACAAGAAGAAAAATACACCCAATCTTCTATCAGAGCTGTGTGTGCTATCTCGGTTTTCACAAACTAAATGTTAATATTCAATCTTTTATAACAGCAGACAGAGGTTTGTCAAGAAAACAGAGCTCTGAAGAAAAAGAGGAATGTAAAAATGCTGCTGGTGGTATCGGGCCTGTTCTTCAGGTTTGTGGCTTGTTTGCACTGTTATTGACACTACCCCTCTGTTTTCCTTTTTCCCACTCCTTTCAAGCAGTATGGAAGTAAAAGGATGTTAATTGGACAAACACATTACAAATTTTAATCTCCTTCTGCTTTAATGTAAGGTGATATTTATGTGTACTCTGAGTAGTTTATAAGAAAATACATGTGGCTAAATTCCGAATTCTTCCTTCCTCCTTCCCACACCTTTTTTCTTCTCCTCCCTTCCTGTTTCAAGAGTTCAAAAATTTATCGTAAAAGCCAAGTTACTGTGGGTGGTGAAGCAATCAGCCTATGTTTCACTGACAGTAGGAACAAAAGTAATTGATGATGGGATACATAGGAGAGCAGGTAGCATGTTAAAACTGGGGGATTTTAGACCCACTTCCAGTGCAGTGTAGTGTTTTTTGACAGGTCAGCCCATCAAGCACACGTGCAAGTATATATGCTTCAGGCATTTGAGGCTTTTAAGCAAAAATGAGGACATGACACACTTTAAATCTAATATTTCGTGAAATATTTGCAGGAGTTTTGAAGTTACTTGTTTTTTCTTGAGTAGGAATTTAGATTAGGAATGTTTGAGAAAGTGATACTGAGTTCAGCTGTTCTGTTAATGAGGCAGCTATCTGTAAAAGTTAGTATTATATGTGAAGGAGTGTAAACTTCAGCAGAGAAAAAGGACTTCGGGTTCGATGGAAGTGACTGTTTAAAGGATGTGTATGCTGCTTGCAGGATTGATAATGTGAGTCGCATTGGGTTATCTTGCGTGAATAATTCAGAAAAGCTGTATCATCCTTTCTTCCAACAGTTTGATTATAAGGCTGTTGCTGACAAACTCTTTGAATTGGCAAGCAAGAAAAATACACCTTCCCATAACAGAAAACGTCTGTACAAGCTGGTAAAAAAGTGAGTTCTGTTAAAGTACACCTTGCATGTGCCACCTTCTCTGAAAAAAGCTTTTACTTTGCTTTCTCTCCACCCTTGCTTGTCCTGGTGACAGTGTCAGGAGAGCAGCCTTGTCTCACAGCCCGGGATATGTGTGTAAGGTGCCTGAAGCCTGTGCTACTGTTCCTTGTTGGTACTGCAGCTAGCTGAGCTGTATCTGCGCTGGGTGGATTTGTACTGTGGGATGTGGCAGTAGATTGTGTGTGATGCAGGTTACAGATACGGGAGAAGTGTTACGATGCTGTTTTAACAATTCTTTCAGTGCTTTGGTTTGAGTTTTTTGGCAGATCTTTTCTGGAATGAGCTCTTTGTAACTTCCTATGCAAAATACATTGTTTTTATTTTGGCAAAACCACAATAAGTACAGTGACAGTATGCTGCTAGTGTTGTTATTGATACTAAATCAGTAATACAGTTTTATTTTTCTTTCTCTCCCTTCCTCCTCACCTCCAGGTTCCAGGACTTAGCAGAAGGTAAGGACTGAGCAGCACACAGAGACAGTAGTTTCCTTCTGTTAAAAGATGTATAATGTTCCCATACAATGTGTATTGCAAATATTTTTTTCATGTTTTTGTTTGTTTGTTTATTTTGAATGTGTATTTCAAGAAAACTGTTGGAGGGATTTTGTGTTTTTTTAAAAAAAAGTCTTCTAAAGACACATTACATGTTTTTGGTGAGATTACCAGATCTCCTTCACAATTTAAGTGACCCTGCACTTTGTCCTTAAATAAAAGATGATTAGTTTTACTTAAATACGAATCACTTTTATGATTTTGGTTTGAGTTGAGTGGGAAACAAGGAGTTGATTTTCTTTCTGTGAGAGTTATGCTGTCTATAAACATACATAACTGTTCGTAAAAAATAGAACTGTTAATTTTCAGCTATCTTATCCTTCCTCCTCAACAGGAATCTTCCCCCGAGATTTTCCAGAAGATGTTTCTACAGATGAAGATGATCAGGAGAAGGCGAAAGAAAAAAGCTGTCAAACCTCGGGAGAAAAACAAGTTGGAAAAAGTAAAAGGTAAGGCAAGATGAAACTTTAGGAGACAGGCAATCTCCAGTCACTTGTGTAATTTGGCAAAGTATCAGATACAAGCTCTTCTGAAGAAGACAAACTTGTAGTTCAGGATATGCTGATTTGTATCGGGTTGCCATGAAGGTTAAATGTGAAGTTAAGGTCTGTCTGAAAGCGGTGGGAATTTTGTTAACATTTTTGAGGCAAGCGTCGCCTCAAAAATTTCAATCAAAAGCAGAACTGGAAGCAGTTGTTTGCGTTGCTCCATTGAGCAGTTGCGTTTACTGTAGGTCAACAGAAACATGCCGGTCTTCTTAATAATTACTGTTAGAATATAGAAATTCAGGGGCTTTTCTGGAAAGGTAGAGTCATGGAGAACCACATGCAAGTATTTCTAGCATCGCATCTTATATCTTAAAAGGTCTTTTCCAACCTAAGCGGTTCCCTGATTCTGTGACTCTGTGATAATTATGATGTGGGACAAGCCTAGTCATACCCAAAAAACATCTCGCCAAACTGCTGAAGTACTGAGGTGCCCTTCTGATGGGCTTACCGGGGGCTAATAACTTTCTAGCAATATTGTAATAAAAAACAGGATTATCACAGGAAATGGCTTAGATGTTAGCTGTGACAAGACAAGCTCAACAAAATATTAATTGGGTCAGGCGTCAGAGGAGTGCAATGTCCTGAGCAGCTGTCATAGTAAAACTGTTTTGCTCACTGATAGCTGAAAAATGGTACGCGTATTTTAAAAGCAAAAAAGAAAAATATAATTCAGTTGTTGTAAACACCTTTGTTTTTCACATCTGTGTTACATGGCATTCTTTTTGGGGTAGGTTTAGAGGATGAACAAGACTTGTCAAGTGCAAAGGAGGCATCAGTTCCCCAGAAGAGGAGGAAAAAAAGGAAGATAAGGGACAGCCCAAGTGCTGATTCTGGAACAGCTGATGGAAATTGTGAGAAGAGAGTAGCTGAAACATCTGGAGCTAATGCTGTTAGTGAGGGAAAGGTGCCAGAAAATAACAAGGAAAAGAAGAAAAAGAAATTGCTAGTAAATGAGGCAAATGAGACCACAAATGTAACAACTGACACCAGAGAAAATAACAGTATCTCTGTGCTGAGCAGCCCAACTGACTCAGAACACAGGAAAAAGAGTCAGTTGAAGAAAATGAATCCTGAAGTGCAAAATGTTCCTGTAAAACTAGCAAGTCAGAATGGACCAGCTATTGCAAGTGAGGCAGCGGATGTCAGCCCATCTGTCGCGCCGTTGACTTCTAAGGTTGTGAAAAAGAAACAGAAAGCAGGGGCTATCTTGGTGAATGGGGATACCCCTTTGCAGCAAACAGATGTGAAATCCAACAAGGAGGGCTTGCTGGGGGCCCCGTCAGGAGATGCAGACTCTGAATCTGTGCCCTCCAGAAAGGTCAAATTGAAGACAAAGCTAGTTGGCTTGGAAGGCGTGAAAGTCTCCAGCCAGAAAGCAGCAACCTTGAAAAAGAAGAGAAAAATAAAAGAGATGCTAAACTCTGAAGTCAATGGAGTTCTGGAGACTGCATGCAAGAAAAGCAGGAAGGGGGTATGTATATCTCATTCTCTTCTCTGTCTTCATAAACTGCCAGGCTCATTTTCAAACTCAGCTTTAGTTTTCTGAGTGTGGGGCCTCATGGGCAGGCTGCATGCCGATGTCACCATGCATTGTCACCAAAAAGAACTTGATTCCCCGGAAATCCACACCCCCCACCACAGTCTTACACCCTCCTGCGCAATGACGCTAAAGCCTGTGCCAGCTGCTTGGCTGAAAGAAGTCATCAGCTGAAACTTGACTTGTTGGCATATGAGGTTGTCCTTTGTCCTTTTTTTCTTTTTTCTTTTTTTTTTTTTGGTCTCTGGGTTAATTATTCTTTTGCATTAGGTCTCTGGTTGAGCTTACAGCATGTTCACAAAGGGCAGATTTTAGCAAAAGCATGAGAATAGGAAAATGGAATGTCCCTTTTTCAGCAGCTGCACACACTTAGATTAGTATAAGCTCCTTGTGAAATTGCTCACAGCAATTCCAATAGTGTCTTCTTTTGCTAGCTCACTTTCTCTTAAACAAATTGTTAGTGCTGTATGGGGAAGGAGCGAACAGAAAATATAACACTGTGACGTGCAGTCTTATCATGGCTGTATAATAACATTTATGAATGGTCCAGTGTCTTCTAAAGACAATACTGTCGTTTTTCTGCTACAAAGGTCTCTTCTTCAAAAATCTATGCCTTGCTGTTCGGGAACAAGCTAGATTTCCTCACCTTTCTCTATCTCCCACCCCTATTTTCCTCTTGGCAATAAGTAGAATAGGGTTGATTTCACTCAGCAATTCAATAGTCGAGAAGCATTTTGCACTGATACTTTTGGTAGTGGTTGAGAGAGAGAGAGAGCGCGAGCAGGGGTTTTTCCATCTCCTGCCACTGAAATTCTTTAAACTGCTCATTTCCTGTGTGTATAGTCACCCTAACACACATTTTTAGGGATTCGATTATATTCTTGGAAGTCTTGCTGACAGTCTTACTTTAGTGGAAAGAGAATTCATAAAGCATAAATGAGATTCAGAATACAAACCAGCTACGTTTTCCTCTACCTAAAAAGTGCATGAGCCTATCTGCTCACCTGTTTGCCTTAAGTTTAAAACTGTGTGATTAGTTACTTGGTGCAGCCTCGTATATGAATTTGATATAACCACTCAATTGTTCAAGGGAGAAAAAAATGCATTTTCAGCCATTGCTTAAGCAGTGTTAAAATGGCCTTGATGATTTCTAATTTCTAATTCTGAAGTACTGAGAGGGAAGAACCAAACATTTTCTCTCTTTCCACAGTATGAAAACTGCATTTTTTTTCTCACTGTAGCGCTTCTGGAGTAGGAACCATTGGTTTTGTCTCTTGTTGCCTAAATATTCTGTTTCATACATTGTCTTACTTTCTCTATAAAAACTTTGTTTCTAAGAAAATATGATCGTGCCACTCCCATCTCCATTTGTAAAACTCTACTGCAACTGACCAACAGGTTCAGAGACCTGCAATAGATCCAGGATGAAGTTCGTGCAAGCTTCCTGAACATTACTGATTGGCACAAATTAGTGTGGACACAGAGAAAGGCAGCGGCATGACCCCAGCACTAGTGTGTTGGCCCGTCAGTGCAGGGGCTTGCAGGCTGCTCTTCCAATGTATAATTCCAAAGAAACTACAGCATTTCCTGTTTCTCGCCTAATCCACTATTGAGTAGGAGTGAGGGGGACTGAGACAAGGAGAGAAATTTCAAAGTTAAGTCAGGAGGAGAATAAGAAAGAGAGCAGAGTAAAGCTAAAATGCATAAATGTGGAGGAAATGAGGCTTTGCTAATTTTGTTTTCATTGCTTGAGAAATAACATGTTGTTTTATTTCCCAGGTTTAGTTATGCAATACTGGTCTTGTGCCCAGAAATCATGAGGGGCATGTTTTGAGTCTTGATTTCAAAGACAACAAACACCTCCAAAGAATTAGCTTCAAATATCCAGAGGGAGGAGGAGGAGGAGAAACAGACAAGTTCAGCATTTTTTCACTGTTGTGTCCAGAATTCAGAAAGCTAAAAGACTTAACACTTACTCACTTTATTTAAAGCAGAAGTGATTTTCAAATCAAAAGAGGCCATATCCCTGGACATTTTTCACAGCACAGCTGCAAACTGCTTTTGGAATTCCACATCTGTAGGTTGATGTGAGGCAAAGATCAACTTCCTCTCACAGCAGTCCACAAATATCTGGGGCCCACAGACAACAGGCTGAAAAGTTCTGGAGCGGTGCACTTTATTAGTGGTACTGCTGTTACAGGTCCTAAGAATTGCCTTGTGCTGGAGATAATTGCTTCAAATGGCAATCCTAAGCATGAATTTGGGGCAGCAAACTAGTAGCAATACACAATAATTGAATTTCTGAGAGTATAGACAAGACTTCATACTCTGCTTTTTTTTTTTTTTTTCCCCTGAAGTTTCCATCGTAGCCTAACGCTGGCTTTGTTCATTAGTTGTGTATCTTGGGCATCCAGAGGTATCACAGAAGAGATGTAGCGTAAGAACAAGGAAAAAAACCAAACCAGCACTTGTGTGTAGGAGACGTGGGTCAGTTGTAAGGCAGCCTCACACACGTGTTTGTTTGCACTCTGATGGGCCAGGCAAACGTATTACAAGTTCTTCCTTCTTTGCTTTGCGGTGACTTACATTTCTGCACAGAGCTTGCTTTAAACTTCTAGTTTCAGTTGTGCTAACTGCGAAATTAACTCCTGAAAGTTAGCTATGATGGTTAACTTCTGTGAGTACGAACTAGCTCTCAGCTCTATCAATATTTACAGACAGCATGTGTGGTAAGCTCTGAGCTCTGATCTCTGTACTAGGTATAGTGAACTATAGTATTTCTGGTACTGAGCATTTTTTCCTTTCCCTTCTGTTAAAGGAAACCATTGTGCTAACTGCGAAATTAACTCCTGAAAGTTAGCTATGATGGTTAACTTCTGTGAGTACGAACTAGCTCTCAGCTCTATCAATATTTACAGACAGCATGTGTGGTAAGCTCTGAGCTCTGATCTCTGTACTAGGTATAGTGAACTATAGTCCTTCTATACTGAGCATTTTTTCCTTTCCCTTCTGTTATAGGAAACCAGTGCTGCTCTATCATCATTAAAGAAAAAGAAAGGAAAACCAGGAAGTGATTTTGTAAAATTTGAGAAATCAACTTCACCAAAGCCAGTATTCTTCAGGAAAGCTAGAAGCACCATCTCTTCCACCAGGACATCCATGCAGGTAATGTGAGCTCACAGGTGGCGGCTGAGTCTGGGCACAGGTCTCTTCCCAAGCTACCTGGCCCAGCAAAGGGTGTAACCTCACGCTGTCTTTAACACTCTGCCTTAGTCTCCTAACATGGGCAGATAAAACTGGAAACGCTGTTGCATTTCCTTGTAGAGAGGGTCACATATGGCTCCAGAGTTTCAGAAAATGAGTTGTAGGCATCTTTTGTTTTCTTCTCCCCATTTTAAAAAATATCTTCTTGTTTAAAGTACCTCTGAACCTGCATGATCTGCAAGATAACAAGAGCATAAACTGACTTGCCAAGGAACTTGGAGCCTCCATTTCTTCCCATTTGTGGAGACTGGCAGCAGTACAGGGCTTCAAAAGACTTCCCTCTTCCCTAAACCTTTTTAGCACACAAATTTTCAAGCCCTCTTTGTACTTTTGAGGCCTGAGTGCAGTGGGACTAGTGTATTTAATACACAAATATTTTGTTTGTTATTGAGTTACGTAGGGAGACTGTGTGATTTCTATACAAATGGAATATATTTACTTTTTGCTAGAAAAACAGTTCAGTCTTAGAAGGGGCCAGGGCGGGAGGACTGGGGGAATTCTAAATCAAATGAAGGAAAGTAAACTGCTTTGCATCAGTTTTGGTGGGATGCAGGTAAAAGAACTCATAGCATTGCCTTAGCAATCGTATCTTATTTAATGTCTTTATTTTGCCTTCTAGCTGAACAAGCTGCAGTCATCCAGCTCCAAAAAAGTCACGTTTGGCTTGAATAAAAACATGACTGCTGGTGAGTCTCGTACCTCGGCATGTCTCCACAATCTCCTGTAGCTGAGGAAGGAGGAAGCTCTATGCACTCATATACACCTATACCCTTCACATCTCTAGGACAGGGTGATTTTGATCCTTTTTGTCTCAGCATTTTTATATAGCACTTAAACCATCTGCAAGTGACTCTCCAGGGGAGATGGTAAACTTTAGGACATTTGGCCCAACGCTAGGCTTGTGCACTTCTGAGGTGTTGCATTACTGACTTGCAGAGGGAGCCTTACTCGTCAAAAACAGTGCAGTAGAGCAACAGACTCCCCTTCCTGAGCCTCCTGCTCTGCAGGGCACCTCTTGGGAAAACGTGCACTTCACAGTCTTCATTGCTCACTTCTGTTTCCCAGGACAAAGGTGCTGATATGCTGGTGAGCTCTGGCTGTATAATAGCAAAGTTCATTTGTTTTTCTTGGCTGCCTGTGATTTATTATTGGTAATGAATAGATAAATGTCAGTTCCCTTCTGGACCCCACATGTAAGCAGTGTTTTATCTGTTAAATAAATGTGTTGCTATAGAGCATACAATTTTGTATTCCATATATTCATTTAGGTTACCTATTTTTACTCTCCAAGATGTGCTGTAGGCCAACTTCTTGAAAAGAGTGGGTTTTGATGTATGTGTTTATGTGACCATAACACAGCTGCACAAAGAGAACAAAAATGCTTACCTGTCAGCAGAAGGGATAACCAGGAGTCTGTAGAACAGTGCTGTTTAACAGTCAGAATAGAGCCACTTCTTACCCATCACCAGCTTTTAAACAAAAGCATGGTAGTGTTCAGGATAGCCAGAACACTTGTTTCTGAGAGTCTCTCGTGGTCTGAGAAGCCAGGGGGAATGGTTCAGGGCCTCTCTGTGGATTGCAACAGGCCCCACTCTTGAAGGGGCTTTGCTAAGAGATGTGCTTCACCACCATCTCTCCATTTTTTTCCCTAAGTCTTAGGCTTCTGCCTTTTAGTGATGCACTTAAGTATCTAAGGCAGACTTCCAGGGCTGGGCAATTCTGCAGTTGATGGACATGCCTGATTATTCCATGGGGAGGTTTGGGGTTTTTAACTTGTTTACTTGTTTTCTAACAGAATTTAAAAAGACTGACAAAAGCATATTAGTGAGCCCAGAAGGACCATCCCGTGTGGCTTTCAATCCTGAACAGAAACCCCGTCACGGGGTGCTGAAGTCACCCAGAGTTACCCCAGCAGGAGAGCCTAAACTGAAGAAACCATTTACTCTATCAGCTAAGAAGAGACCAATTGCTATGGACTTCTTTTAAACCAACAGATGTGGCCTACTTTTGTACAGGACATTTTGCTAACCTAGAATGTTCTCTGGAGGTATTTTAAACTTCCTTATTTTTTTAAGTTAATACAAAGTGTATATACAAAATTCTGGTTGTGACCGGGGACATTGCTATCTTGACACCACTTCAGCTATATCTTGAGATACTTGTGGTTTCCTATTCACAGAAAAGAAGCAAAATCCAATCTCTGCTCAGGTTTGGCCTACATTGACTATGATCTTTCCCCATCTCATTTCCAAAAGAATGTTCAGGGTTTCATTTGTGCTGATGAATTTTATTTTTTTTTTTGAGTCAATTTAAGAAAACTCATGCTTCATGCTGTTAAACTGTCTTTAATTGGACAGGACTTAAAATGGGAAAAGACAATGTAGATTTTAAACCTACTGTTTCCTCATGTATTTTAAAACTTTATGTTACCCTTTTTCCTGTGTTACCTTTGGCATTCTGTTAATAATGATTACCTCATATCTCTGTTTAATAACAGCTGGACTTGGGTAGCTTTGCAGATAGCGAACAAAAAAGGAAAAAGAAATGCCTAGCTGCTCAGGTGGTCACTGTTGGCAATAAGCCTTCACAGCTGGTTGCTTGCTGAGTTGGGAATGGTCAGCACGTTTTTTTCAGTAACACAAGTGCCAAAGCTGCCTTACACGTGTCATGTTGTAAGCTGGCTGCTTCTCTTTACCATAACTGAAATAATGCTCTAGCACGGAGAAATCTTTGATATTTCCATGTCTTCCCCCTTACACCCACTGCTGCTGTTTCTGAAGGTCTGACAAGACTCCTAATGTTCTTTAGCAGCTGGTATCACCACATTTTACTAGAGCTCAGATCTCATTTAGTGGATGAACCTTCAATTGTCCTAAAGTGAGCCCGCTCGGTGTAGCACGCTCGGTTAGGACACACATCTCTCTATAAAGGCTTTGGTGCCTCTCAATACAGGGTAAAACTTTACAACCCAGACAGCTTGGTTTTGATTTTGATGTAGAACCAGAAGAAAAGTCTTTCTGCAGCATTTCCTTGTGTTCAATTTTAATTTGAATATTTTATTACTGCTCTGCATGTTTTGTTTTTTCTTTGCTTCTTTGATAAACAATGAGGTGTGCTTGTGTGAGAGACCATTAATGTATTCTGAGCAGGAGCTATGAGGAAGGGGAGACCCAAATGAAAATAAAATCTTTCTTCATATAGTCGGAAGATTTGAAATCTTTCTTTTGAAAGTTTTGCTTATGCGAGTGAGGCAAAGGCTTTGCAGCAGATCTCTATGTTAAAGCTCAGCTTTCGAAGCGCAACCTGGTGCCAAAGCAATTTATAAAGCTTCCTGCCCATTACTTCTGTGATCCTAAAAGAGAGAGGGTGGGCCTGCTTCTTTGCCTTGCCTTGTGGTAAATGGTAAACATTTGGCTACTTCAGCCAGCAAAGCTAAACCTTGTGACACTATCTATTTGCACACTTCAGTACTACTTTTTAGCAGCCTTTGACGCTGACTGTCCTCAGCCAGATCGCTCCCTGTAAGCAACTGGATTGAAACTGCTCTTTCACAGCTCCTCTAGAATTTCTTTGATGTATTGATGTTCTTGTAGATTGTCAGTTGGTCTCAGTTGCTCAATTCTAATCCGTGCCAGTTCTTGCACTAAATTTGTGGCCATCCATGTACTGTCTGAAAGTTATTTTGCTCTTGTCTTATTTAATTTGGTTTTGGTTTAGTTTGTATTGGTTTGACTGATCAGTAAAGAAATCTGGGAAATGCATCTGATAAAATTATTCATATTTGCTGTCTGAGCATTTGTTCATTTATTTTAAAAAAAACTTCACTGTATATTAGCATAATACATTTTTTTGACAAGGCAATGTGAAGTAAGATTTAACAAAGACCATTCGATATGTTGTGCTATTTATCTTGTACTGTGGGTGAGAAGTCTTTTGTGGAATATGCATAAAAACATTTGTATGTGCATGGTTGTTAATGCATTAGGTTGAAGACGCCACATTCCTCCAAGGAGATAGGTGGAAACAATCAGGTGCATCTGATGTTCACAGAAAAATCCAGGATTAGGACACATTTGACTTGTTTTTTAATACGTAAAACTTGCTATGGAAATGTATTTAAGTAGTTGTCTGGATCTTTTCCTATTGGTTGTGAATCTATTGAACCTGTTGCTTGTCCAGATATTTTGTTCTCTGCAGTGCTAAATGGAGAGGGCAGAAATAGCAATCAGGTTTTTATCTAAAATTTTAATAATGTGATTGCTTGTTGGGCTTCATGCATAATTGATCTATGGCATGAAACTGGTGGAACGTTTTGTAAATATACTTATGTAGTGTGTATTGTTTCAGTGGTGTCTGGATTTTCATTCATGACAACTTTACCAACAAAACCCAAGCACTGTCAATGCAGTTTAATCAGCATTGTTGGGTTAAATGGAGTACATTACCCAAAATACTCAGATAGTGATAATTCCAGTAAACATTAAAGACCAAAAAATAAAGAGTGAAAGAAACTTAAGATCTGACATACCCACTGCGTAGACATGATGGTACCATAAGGAGAGATGCATATAGGAAAAGAGAAAAGAAAAACTGATCTGACCTCTTTGATGTCGCCTTGTAGGTTTTTTTCACAGTGTTATTCCAACATTAGAGCTGCCAATCCAGCTCTGAGTCAAAGTAAGGTAATGTGGCATACATTTTAAAGGACAGATTTTTGTAATGATTGTTTCTGCATTTGTTATTAATCTGATTAACTTTGTACTTCTCAAGTTCTAATAGTTCCTTATAGTTCTAATAGTTCCTTATAGCTTTCAGAGAACTTAAAAGCACAAAATTAATTCAGCATGGCAAAAAGTCAAAATTGTATTTAAATTATTTGGTATGCAAGATCTTTCATAGTCTTACCAAAGCTATGTGACTTGGAAAGCATCAAATGCCCTTTTTGTCGTTTATTTCCTGTGCTTGACTTAATTACAAGCAGAAAGAGATACCTACGTGTTATTTTGTGTACCTCTGCAGCCACATTGTTAATACAAATACAGTGTCTAAGCATTACATCATTTAGTCATATTCAATAAACCATCTTTTTTGTGGATATTGTATTTTTGAGTAAATCTGTAAACTTGAGGGGTGGGAGATGGGAGGGTAACATCCACAGGGCCACTTGAAAGTACGAAGGAAGTTGTTCTTGCATGCATGCACATGCTCTCTCTCTTTTTGTATAAATAACCAAAACTGATGACGACTTAGATGAGTAGGGTTGTTATAGGATATATCTGTTCAGAAACCTTGAGCTTCTGACCTCTGTAATTGGGCCAAAGAGCGCGTACCTGCAGCTGAAAGCTGGCTTAGCAGAAACAAATAGATGACATGCTGTCGTGCCTTATTTCTGAGAGTCGGGCTTTGAATTTTAGCATCTTCACATTATCTTCCTGCCATTGACCCCAACACCAGGAAAAAATACAGAAATGTTAGAGGAGGCATTTTTCGCACATAACAAGTCTTTTGAATGTTTCTTCTTGGAAAAGGAGCTTTAAGGCATAGGCTTAAAATCTTTTCTAGAATCAGTTGTATGTTGATTCATTTGAGGGAGTTAAACAGAGAAAAGCCCTTATTAGTAACATCATTCCGTTAGGATTTGTATGCTGTTCTTCTGAAATATTACAGTGCTTTGGATTCAACACCAGCAGATACTAGCCAATTTCAGAGCTGTTAAACAAAAGAAATCTCCAGTGTCTTTATCACAAACATTGTACAAGGCTTCACATAGAATATTTCTAGGCTAAACTGTTCCTTATTTACATTTCTCTTTCAGATGCTTGTCTTGCAAAATCAAAGCCCTGGGAGGTTTGAATTCTGCTCACTGTGCAGTTTTGACTGTGGGTACAAGTGCTGCAATCTTGGAAACTGTCTCCTGCTTGCTTTCCTGCCATGTTTGTTGCTGAAAAGCTGCTGCCACTGTTTCCCTCAAGACTAACAGGGTTAGTGTGATGGTGAATGTAATACTCAGCACAAAAATATGCATACAATGTCAGAAAGACAAAGAAGTATTTAAATAAAACAAAAGGGAAAAAGACTGAAACTCAAATTCAAGTTTTCTTAGTAACAAAAAGGCCAGACTTCTCCCTGAAGTCCGATTTCTGGGTGCATGATTTCTGAGAATTTCCTTCTGCTGCTGAAGGCTTTAGTTTAATGAGGGCTTGGTCAGGCTCCAGCCTGGACCCTTCCTTCCCTGTGATCCTGCTCAAATGAGGATACAATGCTAAAATAGCTCTCAATGAAGGAAATTTTTGCTCTTGACAAAGCAGCGAGGATCTGGAAAGAATCCCTGATTAAATCCTACTTCTCTGAAAGAGATTTGTGGAAAACAAGGAAGTGCCTAGAGTTAAGCTCTCAAGGGAAATTAATTCCATGCTCAGTTTAGGGAGAAGATCTTGCTGCAAGTCTCAACCCATATTTTCATGAGCTTTGCCACTATGGTAAACATCTGGGAGGCATCTGCTCTAAAATGAAGGCTGCAACTGTAAACACTTGTATAATCCAATAATGTCTACTTGTCTCTACAGAGTATTGCCAGGGACTAAATTTGTTTCTGAAAAGAAGGCCCTCAAGTCTTTCCCTGTCATTAATCCCTTTGAAAGGAAGAACATGAATCATGCACGAGGTCTGTACTGCCTTCAGATAGGCTGACAGAGAGAAGAGAGTGTCCCCTGTTTCTTGCTCAGAAATTCACTCGGGAGCCCTTTATGGCAGGAGGGGAAGAAATTGCTATTTGACGTTCTCCAATTCCACAAATAATGCTCTACAATTACTTGAAAGGACATTGTAGAGAGGTTGGTGCTGGTCTCTTCTCACAGGTAATTAGGGTAATCTGTCCCTAATTACCTAACCAGGGGGAATGGTTGCAAGTTGCAACAGGGCAAGTTTAGGCTGGACATGAAGAAGAAATTCTTCACAGAAAGAGTGGTCAGAAACTGGAACAGACT